TGGGCTCCCATCTCGCCAAATCTCTTACTCTGCAGTGCACCATTGACTAAATGCCTGAGTTCGCTGAAGTCAGCCTTCCTTGTATAAGACATTGCCTGGTTTTAACAAACACAAAACCCAGGCTCTTCACAGCTCCACTTGACAATCAGGCTCCACTATTAACTTCCTGCTGACAGGTAAACTACCCTGCCACCAATGGTTCCAGTTGACTGTTCTTCCTCTATGAATGACAGGTGGATGCATCAGATCCTGCGTTAGCTGAGGGGTTGCAAAACAATCACTGGCAAACAACACAAAGCCATTTCCTATTGTAAACTTCACCTTCTGAAGAGGCAAACAAGCCAGGCATAGCTCCTGCCCAACAGCATGTTTGTGTTGGCTTGTGATGGGGACAGCATGTGACTGTTTTGCTCAGTGGGGGTTTTAGGACATTTTACTTTAGAAGAGTTATAGGAGAAAAAAAAAAAAAGACCTAATTTTCCTTGCTATAAGGAGGACTCTGAAAACATGAACATGAAGGAATCTGGGTTGTTCAAATGGTGGTTAATATTATTATTACTACCCTTAAATGACTAAAAGCACTGAAAATATATGTTCTTAGACAGACATACACCCCACAGGATATTTTAGAGGGGAGATACATTTATTCCAAGAGAGGAAAACTGGCCCCTGCCCAAAAAATGGACACAGCCCCAGTCTGCAGACACTGGAGAACCGACCTTTGGATTCAGGTTGTATGTAATAGGAAAGACTACAGGCTGTTTTTTCAGGCTACAAAACTGAAGGAGAGGGAAAGAATTTACCTTCAGGGCACTGTGCTAAACAATGACATGCTATTTTCATAGTCTCTGCTACAAAGCTGTGGTGAAGAAAGTTGTGGCCCACATGTGGGCCTGGAATATGCAACTGCTCTGGCTTCTTAGGGGCAGGAAAGCCTCTCCGCTTTCTTGAGAAGGCAGATGGCAGCATTGGCCACAGTTCTTTAGAGACAGCCTACCAATGACAATGCAGACCACCCAGACCCAGATTCCGAGGGATTCCAGATCCAGCCTCACCATTTGGGAAACCTGGCCTTAGACAGCAGCTCAAAAGGGCCAGGATGCAGAGAATTCAGTCACCAAGCCCAAGAGGAGCACAGGGACAACTTCTTTGTGAAGATGAGCTCTGCAATGTGGAATCCTATGCCTGGAGATGAAAGGGAAACAGAAACAGCTTCCCTTCCATATGGCTGAAAGTAGAGATCTCTGGACAGCTATGACTTAAAACAGATAAAACCAAGAAAAAGCAGCAAAACCAGAGCTGCATGTAGCCCCAAGAGTACAGAGAATGATGTGGAATGGACAGAGGGGTCCACCTCGTCCTACACCTGCCTGTTACTTGCTCTTGCTGATGCACTGATTTCCACCCACTTGCCTTACTAAATCACCAGAAATCTACAGTGTAATTCACATCACTACTACACTGGCCCAGAGACCTCCCAAAGAGTTACACACTACTCATGACACATCTGTATTTGACCACTGGTCTCCACAAATAAGCCAATGAATCCAAACGGTCTACCATGAGTTTACATGGTGCAAATCTATGTAGAAACACCTACAGCATATTGCTCACTTACAATGAGAAGCTTATCTACACAGGAAGATTCACCAGAATATTTATCTTGGTATAATATCTGTGTCAGGGCACTTGGGGTGCCTACCACTTTAGGAGGTCAGGCAGCCTGCAAAGCCACCCACAAGTGCAGGCCAGGGCTAACTGGGGAGTCAGCTGACCCAAGAAGCCAGCAAGTGAGGCTTGGCCTGATAGAAGGAGTTGCCTGACTCCAGAGGAAGGCTGGGCTTAAAGCAGGTATAAGCCCAGAGCCTGAGAGAAGCCCAGTAGTAAGGTCTGGACCCCACTGAGAGAACATCAGCTCAGCAGGAGGACTGCAGCTCAGGAGCCCCAGCACATGGAAGACAGCTGAAGCAGTCTGGAGGAGGTTCCTAGGGACCCAGGCTGGGGCCTGGGTGAGCCCAGAGAGAAGGCTCAGAGCATAAGACCTATTGTAAGGCCTAGGGGAGCCTAGATGGAGGGGCTTAGCACAGAAGCCCCGTTATAAGATCCAGGTGGAGCCCAGAGAGAGGGATGTGGTGCATAAGATCTATTGTGGGTCCCAGGTCAGCCTAGGGATAGGGACTGAGAGCTTAAGAGCCCAGCTGAGCAGTCTGAGAGAGAGGACCCTAACGTCTATGAATCTATGCCCTGTGAGTGAGTGGGGGCCAGCAGGCTGGAGAACTGACCCCAGCAGAATCTTGCTGGCCTGCTAGCAGGGCTGGGGTCGGAGAGGGGCTGAAGGCTGGAGGCAGCAACTGCGGGAGAGTGCTGGAGCCACTGCTGGAGCTCTCAGCCGGCCCGAGGCACGGCCAGAGCCTAGGACAGGCCAAAGGTCCAGGTGTGGCCACAGCGAGAGAGGAAGGGGTCAGGGAAACTGAGGCTCAGAATAAGAATGGCTGGGACAGGGCCACTGGACATAGAGGGTCTAAGACAGCATCGAGACAAGGCAGCCCAGAGGTAGGAGAGCCAGGACCAGAGGTAGCCTGGAGGAAAGCATGAGCTGAGTCCAGAAGGGGGCTGCATGAGAGCTTGTGAGACCAGGGTCTAAGCTGGTCCTGGGTCTGGCTGAAAACTGCATCCTACTGAGGTCTGAGGTCACAGTGGTGGGACAGCTCATGGCGGAGCAGCCTCTTGGAAGTGCCACCTAGGCCAAACCCCAGGGAAGGGTGACTGTGGGGTGCCCTAAAACCCCAGCTCCCACTGCCTTGCAGGTTACCCCTTGGCAGAAAAAGGCTAGGGGAGCACACCTAAAAGCAAAGACAGGACCAGATGGTTCAGAGGCCCAGGATGGGGCTGAGAGTGAGTGGGACCAGAAGGGTCCAGGGGCCTGGCAAGGGGCTGGGGGAATAGTGCAGTAGGAACCAAAAGGGTCCAGCACCCCAGTGAGGGGCCAAGGAATAGTGAGGCCCAGAGAAGGGTCGTGCGAGACATGAACGGATCTTGCAACCCAGAGAGGGGTCAAGGGTGAGACCAGGGAATGAGAGAAGGGTGAGAAGGGCTGGCTGAAAGGCTGAGAAGTCTGAGGACCCAGGAAGGGGCCAAGTGAGGGGCCAAGGGATTTGGCAGCCTGGAGGGGAGTCAAGCTAAGGGCTGAGGGGTCTGGCAGCCCAGAGAATGACTAAGGGATGGACTGAGGGACCTTGAGTGGGGCTGTCCAAAAGACCAAATGGTCTGAAGCACCAGAAGAGGGCTGTGTGAGAGACTGAGGGTCTGGAGGGGGGCTGCATATGTGTAGACGTGATAGAAAGAACATCCACAATGCCATCTGCAAGGCATGGTGTAGGATAGGTAAAGAGTCATGCAATTGTCCCGAAAAACAAAGGAGCACAGCTCCCAGGTGGTACAAGACCAGGTTTGGGAAGTCTTGGGGCAGCCTCCCTCTTATAACCATAATGCATCAAGGTGTGACAAGCAAGCTAAGGGGAGACTGTTCCCAGAGCACAAAGGGCAAAAAAGGAAATTTTATTTATCTGGCCTCCAGAGGCTTATGGCCACCTTGGGGATGCCACCCTGCTACACATCAGTGGTATAAATGCTCCTACAGAAAATCCCTTAATCTGTCAGAAAGGAATCTTCAGACTGTAGCACTCTTTTGCACCAGTAAAGGAGAGGCTCTCACAAGTGTCATAAATATGAACCCAAGTGGCACATAGATTACTTAGGGCTCTTCACTACTGAATTCCTTTGTGCCATTCAGCACTCAAGTCTGGCCTAGTTTGAGTGTGAGCACTCACAATACAAAGCTAGACCTGACTAGGCCCATACAGTTCTGCATTCACTTGTGTGAGGTGGGAGGACTAGTGAGGATCCTCCCGTGGTTCTTTGGGACACTACAATTCTTTCCCAGTCAACTGCAAGAAGCTTATATGTCCTTCTGGATAGATAGAGAGAAACATGGTGAGGCAATGGGTACATATGCACTCTGGTAGCTTGACAGTGACAGTAGCTGTTTCCCAACAATTTCTAGTGGCACAGGCAGGTGGGTATAGATGCAGACCTAGTGGCAACTCCCACGTAACAGCCTAAGCTAACTCTATAGTAAAGATGTGTATTGGCAACTGGGGTCAAGTTGCTTCTTTTGATGTCTCAGAACAGAACACATAGCAGGTTTAAAAAAGGATGATAGCCCAGAGGGAGCTGACAATTTTCTCCCTTCACTCCTGCCTTCCTGTCCAGAATAATCTCAGCATTTAAAGTGAACAATCTTTAATTAGGTGTTAAGAGTTGTTAAGGCAGCATTTTATAGCCACATTTAATGAGGCTTTCTGTTCTTGGAAATAGCTGCCCACCCCTCCAGACTTGGTGGCAAAGCTCTGGAGGTGTAGGGGTGGTTCTTCCTGGGAAACCACATCCTAAATTACCTCCTGTGCTGTACAGGTTATTAGCAGTGTCAAAGAAGTCACTTCTTGCTTCTGTAGTGCTATTACAGAATCTTTTTTGACAGGTGTACTCAACCAAGCATGGACCAAGTGACCAGAAACTGCTAAGCCCCTCTTTGAAGCTCAAATTATGATGCCATTCCCATTGTTCTGATGTCACTAGTAGGTTTTTTGTGCTGCAATATAATTTCAAATGAACTGAATTCTCAGAGAAATTCAGTCCTATTCATGATCCAGTACCCTGCAAATTAAACTTAATGGAAGGAATTGTCTTCCCAGGCTGACCAGGAGCAAGCTGTTTGCCCACATTATTTGAAAATGTGAAGTAGTATAATTATAAAAATCACAATGGAGATTTTCCAAGAAAAATAATAAAGGAGCCAGAGGGATTTACACTAAGGGGGGGGAAGATTAAAGCAACTGAATACAAATACTAATGAGGCTGAAAAGAGATTGTAACATCTAAGTGTGTCAGGGTATAGACACAAAGGAAAGGGGAGGGTTTGGTTAGTTTGGCCCAAGGGGGACTGGAGTAATGGGACAAAAATCAAACAAAGGGAATTCAGCAGAATATCAGGATGTTTCCTCCTACGGAAACTGTTTTGAAGGTGGAAAATTTTCCTAAGGGAAGTGGTGGAAGCTTCACGGTTTCCATCATCAATAACTTGATAAAGCCCCTGGAGTGTAATCTAACGGGAACAGTCCTGCAGAGGCTTTGGAGGTGAAGGTCAGATACGACTTGCACCAATATTATTTTTCCGTCTCTAATTTTAACAACCAAAGTTTTCACTCAATTGTTACCAAGTCAACTTTATCTTCTGGAAACTGTGTCCACATACAAACTGATCTAAATGCTAGACAGGTCTAGGTTTTCTCAAGGGTGGGTCTGATTCCACTACAATCCAATTGTTTGCCTGATTAACTTCACACAGTGAAGTTCACCCAGTAGTCACTTCAAATACTATCTGCATGGAGAACCACAGTCTGAGGATACCACAGGCTCTCCAGCAGCAGTGGACAGTGAGTGTACACCACTGTATTGCTTTAAGTTTACATTTTAAATTAATTTAAGTTACACCAATTAAGTTCAAGTGTTGCCATGGCTACTAATATATATCCCCCCCCCCGATACCAGAGACCTGGGTTCCAACTGTCCCTGCAGCATGGTTCCAGTGTGACACTGGGCAAGACTCTTAAACTGACTCTTTAGAGGTGGTCACTAACTGTATGTTCCAGCTTTGAACCCTGGGGTCTGATTCACCATTAGCTGCAACTCTGTGTTCTGCATTTAAATGCACAGTAGGCACCCTGAACAATAATGTGCCTTACAAAGCAAAGTACTTTTTTTGGTTGGTTGGTTGGTTGTTTTTTTAATTAGATCCTACACACTTCAAGTTGGACACCCAAAATTAGTGGGCACTGGGCCACGACCTTAGGGATTCAGGTTTCTGTCTACAACACCTTCATCTTTACACTAACCTTGTGGAATAACAATGTGTATAAAACACTTGGGTACTAATACAATGACTGCCACAGAAAAGCCAGTGAGGAAATTAATCAGTAGCATGACTAGGGGTAGGGAAGCAGGACACCAGTCCCAGGTGTTGACTTACAGAGGCTGCTAGAATGGAGGCCACTGGGGAGTCTGCACAGCAGGGGGGGCAGCAGCAGTGTAATATAGGGACCCTCTTGTGTCTCTCCCTACTGCAGCTGCTTCTCTTATTGCTGAATGTCCTGCTGTCCATTGCTGCTGGCAACAGCCATCTGCAGTGACAGCAAGGGTTGCGAGGGGGGGTGCCAAAGTGCCCATCAGGTTTGGAAAACGCTGACTTAGGCACCAACCTTAGTAATTAGAGCTCTGAAATTCCCCACTCTGAATAAAAAGTGGGTATGCTTGTTAAGTGAGCACCACTCAGCTTATACCTTGAGTGAAGTGAGGGTCCTTGGGGAAATTGTATGTACATAATTAAAGACTATCATAATGCATGTACCAGGGAACTAATTAGGGTTCCACAGTCACGTGAAAGGGTGTCAGAGATGGTAAGTCTCCTCAATCGAGCAGAGGTGAAAAGGCACTGTTGCTGGTTAGTGCAGTTACAGAACAAACTCTGTGGGGGGGCCACAGCTTCAGTAGAAAAGCGCCTCTCTTTTGTAACTGTCCTATCTTTCCTTCAGCCTCTTTAATTTTTTTAAAAGAAAATTGCAGAAAACATCCAAAACTTAGAAAGCAAGCTACAATCAGCAGAAGGCTATACATCTCAAGTGTGACAAGATCGTTTGGCAGTAAATACAGGGTTAATGAAGCTGGAGATCAACACAATCTAAAATTTTGACAACCTCGTTTTTGGACAGAAGTGTTGGCTGGTATTAATGCAGACTACTGCCATGCATAACATGACATGAGCCAGGGGTTGCCAAGCAGCTGAACTACAGATAGCACAGGAAATTAAATGCCTGATATAAGGTACATCCCATAAAATGTAGCCTCCTAGTTGGAACAGAGTGGTTGGTAACACAAATATGCCTTGGGTAGATTGGTGTTAAGTCAGTTTAGGAGAGTGCACCTTTAACCAATGCACTATATATACACACTAGGTCCCGTAACTGGAATTGAGGGAAAGGCATACCTTGTCATAAACATTGGAAGTATGATTAATGGTGCAGCCATTGTGCCCACCGGAGCCCCTGAGTGGATCCTGTGGGAAGATGACCACTGGATAGCCGTAAGTGCACAGGATTGCTGACAATGCCAGCTAAGTGGGTGGGTTTGCCAGGATGGTGAAATGGTGAAAAAATGGACAGAGCTGCTGAGGAAAAAGCAAACAGCCCATGTGAGGTGCGCACGTCCATAAAAGGATATAGCAAGGGCCTATGGTAATTCAGTGAAGGGCACATATGCCTGCATGTGTCCTCGGTAACAAATGTCACCTATGTCATGCAGAATCAAACAACAGGGGTAGAAGAATTAAAAGAGGGAACCTGGTGCAGTAACATTTCCACGCAAACTGTTAAGGCAAAAGGATACCCTGGATTCCAAGTACCACATGTTAAATTTTATACAACAAATTGACCCAGAAGCCAGAGTGAAGCATTTTAGTGCAGGTCACCTTAACAAGCACATTTGGCTATAGAAGGACCTAGAAGAAGTTGGTAAAAAATATAGAAAGACTGGTTTATCCTAGAAGAAGGAGGAAAAGTTGTGGGTAATGCTCATGGATTGAAAAAACAACCAGCTAAAGGAACTGAGTGCTAGGATTAAAGTACTGAAGAAACTGGTGAGATAAACTGACCCACTGGAACTTCAACCAAGGAGTTATTCACATTATTACTCACCCCCTGATCATTGTACAAGAAACCCTTGCTATTTACGGGTTCGGCATTCATGGTTTCAAGTATTTGCGAATGCCGAACCCGCATTGTAATACACTTAAAAGGAGCTCCTCAGGAGCCTTGCGCTTGAGGCCGCTGGGCTCCCGTCGCCGCGCTCCTGTCGCCACCACCAGTGCAGCCATGTCCCCTGCTGCCAGGGGCATTGTGTTCATGAACGTTGTCTGCGTTCATGAACACAGTGCCTTATTTGGAGATTTCGCTATTCACGGGGGATACGAGAAAGTATCCACTGCGAATGGCGAGGGTCTCCTGTATTATTGATTCAAATTATTGTTACTTGTATTATACTTTGGTTATATCTGCCGGTAAAATGATGGAAGCAAGAAATGAATGAACATGTCTTGTTATTATGGAAAGAAAAGAAATAGAAGGATAGTAATGTAGTTTTATTTCCTTGTTCTCTCTTAATGTATAGATGTTAAGTCTTAGTTTAAATGTTATTGACTATAGTTGTATTTGTAATGTTATGAGCAACAAGCAGATACCAGAAGCAGCCTGCCACAAACACCCCACAAGAAACTACAAAGGGGCTACCCTTACAATCAGGGCTTTGTGATTGCTTTTTTTTTTTTGTCCTAAATGCAAATCTCTCCCTTCCCCACCCCAAACCCCTTGCATCCTCTAGGAAAGGCAGGGCCTCCTGTTTGCTCACTTCTGGAAGCATCAGTGGCAGCTGGTGGAGTGAGGTTTATTAAGCAGGTACAAAGTGCTTTTTGTTCCCTAGACAGCATTGGGCGGCTGCTCCATCCAATTCTAAACGTCCTTGGGTCTCTGAGAGAAGGGGAGGGGGAACCTCAGTAACATGACTCTGTTCTGTTTGTGGTATCTTAGCCGGCCACAGCAGTCACTCTTTGATCCTCAGTCATGAAAAGAACACAAAAGACTGAATTAAAGAATAAAGACCTATACAAACTGGCCTATGGGGACTTTGTCCCTTACAGGAGCTCCTCCTGCAGCAGCACTGCCCTGTATTACTGCCTCCCCCTGTGGTAGTCACTGCATTTCGGTCACTTTCATTTAGATGCCACCTTCCCACTCCCCTCCCCTTTCCTCCCCTCCACCTCCTCCAGTATGCAGAGCTCAACTCACCCTGCAAAAGTTGCTTTGTGCCCCTAAATTGAATATTCTGCAGGCTTGCTGCTGCCTGGATACATGCAACTGGCATCTAATGCAAATAACTCACTCACTACAGGTGCAGATTAAATCTGCTGTTCCATGTAGGCAGATCTTTCAAGAGATTACACATGAAATGCAACTCCTATCAAGGTTGCCCTGGTAAATCCTTCTGAAAGGAAGTGATGCAGCACATACTTCCCTGAATCCTGGCTGAGTGATCATTATGACTATTTTCATTAAGTCTGTGCCTTCATGCTATCTATAATTTATACTAGGAACTCCTTAAGACAGGGGCTATGCCAGCCTGTAGGGTTTGAAAGGTGCTCAGCACACTGACCATATTTGATTCCATGCTTCACACCTTGCTTTTTGTTAAGCAGGTCTACTCAATTACCACTTTTAGTGAATCTTTTCTTGCTCACAAACTAAAGACTAATGACATGCAGGTTAAGAAAAGATTCTTGTGTTGCTCTGCTCATTGTCTAGGACAATGGTTGCCAACCTTTTTAAGGTAAAGATCACTTTTTAAAGTAAAGGGCAATCCAGGATCTACCACCCTGCCACACCTATCCTGCCCTCCCACCTCCCAGCAGGTCAGTCTGGAGGGGGGAGCGCAGACTGAGGCCCCCACAGTAAGGGAGGGAGTGGGGCAGAGGCAGGGGTGAGTGGGGCCCCAGCCGGGCCAGGCTGGTCCATGGAGGGTCAGAGCTCGGACAGCTCATCCAGGTGCACGGGGGGCTCCTGCTGCTGCACACACCCTGGCAGAGGCCCCGGGGGGGGGGGGGGAATGCCCCCCCCAA